AGGTATATGTTTATAGATAGATTCATAGATATTAAGGCCAGAAGGGACCATTATGATCATCTAGTCTGACCTCCTGCACAATGCAGGCCACAGAATTTCACCCACCACTCCTAAAAAAGACCTCACACCTATATCTGTGCTATTGAAGTCCTCAAATTGTAGTTTGAAGACCTCAAGGAGCAGAGAATCCTCCAGCAAGTGACCCGTGCCCCATGCTACAGAGGAAGGCGAAAAACCTCCAGGGCCTTGTTGAGAACTCCAGAGGTGTACTGGGGCAATTGTAGAAGGGTATGTAGCCAGGGAATAATTCACCTCTATTATTAGTATTGTTGTTGGTTGTTGTTTCCGTAAGTGCTGTACAAACACGGAACAAACTGATGGTCCCTGCCCCAAACAGCTTCCATTAAGTCTATTGGAGATGCAAGATAATCCTCAGTGGGTCCTCCTGTCTTATTTTCAAGAGTCAGGCCATGAAAAGGACGTGACCCCATTACATGGCCTGTTACTCTCTGAAACCGTAGTAGCTGCAGAATACAGGATGGAAGGTCTCAAAGCAGCCAGAAGTTGCTTCGGTGAATTTGACCAAGATAGGGACCATGATAAAGTAGATGAGCTCTTCAGTGGATTAAGTTTAATAACCCTACCGGAACTGATCTCCTCGCCAGCACTGGCTGCTTCAGCTTTCTTGGTTGTTTGCGTTGTGTCTGCCTAATCAAACTTTAAGTCCTCCAGAGTAGGGGAGCCTGACCCTGCTTTCTGTTAAATCAATGGCAGTTTTTGCTCTGGGATCATGGAAGCAAAAGCAGGTCTTGGGTAGGTTGGAAAGCACCCCGGGTAATATATATAAAATTGGTGGCAGTGGGTGCACTGGGATTGTCTGAAATTAACAGTGGAACTTTGGTTGGCAATGAAAATTCTCCGTTCTGCAAAAGGCCTTTGAATATTCTCCAGTTAATGAGTAACAAATAATTGAATCCAAAGCATTTTGAATGATGCCAAGCCAAGGAATGATCTTCAGAAGTTACCTCAGTTTTTGCACTTGCGAATGCATGTCAGTGACACTTCGCTGTGTAAGGAAATGCTCGTCCTCACAAATGAGACAATGCTGGATTCTCATTAAGGCCCATTTCCAGTGCTTTGGCAATGCAAAGGTAAATTGTGTGTCTAGTGGTAGGCAGAAAAATGAGAAGCCGGTTAAAGTCAGCTGAGGCTGGTCCTAAATGTTTGAGTTTGGGATTAGAGCTGTGGGACATGGAATTTTTGGTGTGCTGGCAATGCCAAAAAATTGGGGAAATTTTTTTTTGTGTTGACCCAGAACAAACTTTTTCTGAAATTTTTGGTTGGTAGAAAAAAAACACACCAAAACCTGGCTTGGGGTTGAATGTAACCTTTTGCTTTACCCGACAGGAAATGTTTCCTTTTGATTTTGAGCATTTTAAAATCTTCTTTTTAATTTTTAAAAATCACAGTGGAAGGAAATTTCCAAGCCGAAAGTCATTTCAAATCACAAGATCAAAATGTCTTGTTTTGAAAAGGTTGAAATGTTTTTATTTTTTTTCTGTTCTCTCTTCCCTCCCCCCCCAACTAAAACAATTTGGCAAATTTGGCACAAATAGGTGAAATGTTTCAGTGTCGCGAAATCTGATTTTTTTTTTTTTTTGCCAATGAGGATAATGTTTCACTACTTTCCAGGAGGGTTGTGAGGATTAAACTCATTCATGCTTGTGAGATGCTTGGTTGATTTGGTGGTCAGGGCTATGTAACTACTTAGATGGCTATTGTCGTCCAATCAGCTGTGTTGCACAGCAAATGTGGTTATAAGTGAAACTCAGGGTATCTGATTGAGATAGTGCTACCTAGATTCATAGATATCAAGGTCAGAACGGACCATTATGATCATCTAGTCTGACCTCCTGCACAACGCAGGCCACAGAACCTCACCCACCCTCTCCTGCGATAAACCTCTCACCTATGTCTGAGCTATTGAAGTCCTCAGATCATGGTTTAAAGACTTCAAGGTGCAGAGAATCCTCCAGCAAGTGACCCATGCCCCACGCTACAGAGGAAGGTAAAAAAAACCCAGGGCCTCTTCCAATCTGCCCTGGAGAAAAATTCCTTCCCGACCCCAAATATGGCGATCAGCTGAACCCTGAGCATATGGGCAAGATTCACCAGCCGGATACCCAGGAAAGAATTCTCTGTAGTAACTCAGATTCTATCCCCCTAACATCCCATCACAGGCCATTGGGCCTATTTACCATGAATATTTAAAGATCAATTAATTGCCAAAATCATGTTATCCCATCATACCTTCTCCTCCATAAACTTATCGAGTTTAATCTTGAAGCCAGATAGGTCTTTTGCCCCCACTGCTTCCCTTGGAAGGCTATTCCAGAACTTCACTCCTCTGATGGTTAGAAACCTTTGTCTAATTTCAAGTCTAAACTTCCTGATGGCCAGTTTATATCCATTTGTTCTTGTGTCCATATTGATACTGAGCTTAAATAATTCCTCTTCCTCTACTTACACACTAGGAGACAATGTAAGTTTTCCCTCATTGTTAACTCAAACGAACCTTGGTTACATCCATGCACATTTGCCTTTGTTTCGCCTCTTTATCATAAAAGACATGATGAAGAAGCAAGCCCTTTCCCTGCATTTCTGCCTGGGCATTTCTCCATACTCAGCACAGCTGATACAATGATGTAGTTTCGGTTTGCGAAGTTGGAGCTTAGACTGTCTATCAAGTTTGAACTGGATGAGGATGATTGATGATAAGATCATGCTTTAATTGCCTGACTTTGGCTGGAGACAGTGCTGTGACTCAATCCGTGTGTTATCTGAGTGCATTCAGTGATTGAAATTAGGACAGCGGCATTCAGCTGACTTAACAACTCCCCTCCTGTCGTAATGGAGCTGGGCTGTGAGATTTTATGATAGTGTATTTGGTAATCGTCAGAGGAGCCAGAGCAAAAGCATCCCGGTTGTTATATCTGCAAGAGCATAGCACCTCCGTGCACTGTGAACTACTATGCACGACAGCGGAGTGAATTAGATTGACCAATAAAACTGGAGTGCTTTAGTAGACCCATTGTATGGAGAGTGCATTGGCTGTGGCTTGTTGTGTGTTTGGTGCACCTTTAAAGGGGGAGCAGGCCCACTCCCCACTGCAGGGATGGCAGTGTTTTGTGTTTAGATGCAGCCTGTTACAAAGGAGTGAGACACACTGTGCTCTCTCTCTCGTGGAGACCTGGGCTAAACTTTTCAAAAGGGTCACATTTTCCAAACTTTGACCCGGGAGTCCCACGTTCCGAAGGACTTAGGCCTTTAGGAGCCTAATTCACACTCTGTGAAAGTCGGCGAGAGGCTCCTGAGTGTGGCCGTGACTTCTGAAAATCGGGACTTAAGGCCAGATTTTCAAAAGTATTTAGGTGCCTCAGGATAAGTGCCTAGTGGGGTTTTTCAAAAGCGCCCAGGTGCCTGACTCCAATGGTGGTTTAAAAAATTCTGCCCTATGACTTGTTTGTTAGTGAAGGTTATTTGTTAGTGAGGGTTGACTATCAGAAAGAAATTCATTGAATAAATTGCTGAACAAAAAATTGGCAAAATTAGTCAACAGGTATATTTGATCAGTTAAAATGATGTTTGTGTGACACTTTTATTTATGTTTATAATTCTCTGTCTTTCTCTCTCGCTCATGAGTTAGCCAGCTGCTTTACAATACTCAACAGCTGTATTGTTTATTATCTAGACAGCACCATAGGCATGCATGGACCTTTATAAACAAGGCCTCTCTGGTTGTATGTCCACACACATCACCCTAGCATCTGAGTACGTCTACATAACAATTAAACACTTGTGGCTGGCCTGGGTCAGCCGATGCGGGTTTGGGGAGCTTGGGCTGAGGGGCTGTAAAATTGCTGCATAGTCACAAGGGGTGTGTGTGTGGGGGGGAAGGTGCCAGAGCCTGGGCTCCTGTCCGAGTATCTACACAGCAATTTTTAGCCCTGCAGCCCAGGCCCCCATGAGTCCAAGTCAGCTGACTTGGGTCAGCTGCAGCCATTCTTTGGGGCTTTTATTTCAGTGTAGATGTATCTTGAGTGTCCGTTGACACTTTTCAAGGGGATTTGCTCTCCTTGTTGATCATTGCATTTCTCATCCATGTTGCTGCACTTGTTATTCATGATACCAGATAATCAGCAAATTCTAGGATTGCAGATTCTAGGATTCACCTCTGCAGGAATTAAGGTCATGGGTAACAGAAGCTCCCATTACGAGCGATTTTTAGGAAGCTTCAGGGGTGAAAAGCCCAAATTCATCCTCTCTTGTAAAAGTCTTATTTTAATGAGACAATGCAGAGCCTCCTCCAATTGCAATATGCTGAGCTCCCGCTTTGGATTGGGCAACCGGTTCTCAGAAGCCAAAGGCAATTTTCCATGGAGAAAGCAGATTTAGGGTGTAATCATAGGTGTGTGTGTGGGGAATTGTGAAAGCTGTGCTATTATTTGGCATCCCCTAAAACGTTTGTCTGCCATGGGGCTTTCCGAGGCAAGTTCCAGATAAAGCTACAGATAAAAGGTACCCATCCAGAATAAGGGGGAAATTAATGATTCACTGCATCATTTAAAGAGAGATCAATTCAGACACCCTAAAAAAGTGCAAGGCATCTTAGTCAGCGAGAGTTACCAGGAGGCGTATGTGACATTGTTCTTGTTTTGTTTTTTCCCTTCTGCATTGCTGGGGCGTGTGGACTGGGTAGGGTCATTGGCCAATTGAAGATCAAAATCTGTCAACCACACCAAGCTCAAGAACACAATAAAATCATATCCTCTGTCACGCCCATGCAAACCCCGCCCATCTCCCGAAGCAGCTAAAAGGGAGCATCCCCGGTGCTGGATTCAGAGGGACTCACTTCCCTTCACTCTGCACTCATCTTCTTGCACCACTGCTACGGGGATTCTTCTCCTCTTCATCTCCTACTCTGTGCAGAAGGAGCCGCCATGTATCTCCAGCCGTGCGCCCCGTCCACTGGAGGCAGCAGAAGGAGCTACAGCTCATGCTCTGCCATTGGTGCAGGTGGAGGAGGCAGAGTCAGGAGTAGCTACACCTCCTATTCCTCCTCCAGGGGCTACGGGGGTGGCGGACGCTGTGCAGGGTTTGGCAGCAGGAGCTTGCATAATCTAGGTGGAGGTGGAAGGATTTCTGCGGGGGGCTCTTACGGTGGAGGATTTGGGTGTAGAAGTGGTGGCTTTGGTGGCGGAATTGGTGTCGGGTTGGGCGGCTATGGAGGAGGACCGTGTGGCTTTGGAGGAGGAGCGGGCGGCTATGGAGGAGGAGTGGGCGGCTTTGGAGGAGGACCGTGTGGCTTTGGAGGAGGAGCTGGCTTTGGAGGAGGAGTGGTCGGCTTTGGACCTGGCTTTGGACCTGGCAGACCTGGGCAGCCTGGAGGCATCCAGCCCGTTCAAATTGATCCAAGACTCCTGCAACCGATCAATATCGAGATTGACCCCCATATCCAACAAGTGAAAACTCAGGAGACGGCGCAGATCAAGGTCCTCAATGACAACTTTGCAACCTTAATCAGCAAGGTGAGAAGTCAGGGCAGTAGGGGGGCACTTTGAACTGCTTTGTGCACGGCAGAAAGGGTTGTTTCTATATTTCCATCTCAGTTTTGGTAAGAAAGGAAAATTGAGCAGTGATCAGAAATAGGCTAGAATTTCTCATCCAGAGACAGAGAGAGATCAAAAGCTTCTCCTGCATGGGCCTTGCTATGGATTCAGCTACCTCAAGCTACTCTTTGGCTTTCAGCTGCAGGATGCTCCAGAAAGTCACGTTCAAGTCATCACAACATCTTTAGCATTCACTAGCTGGTCTTACTACTGTGAATTTCTCTTTCCACGTGGCCTTCTATCAAATGCTACCTTTTTATTAATATAATTTGATTATCAATGACTCATTTACAGTGGAAAACTAGGATTTCTAATTTGCTTTCATAGGGGCAGATCCTCAGCTTCAATGCAACTAGGACAGTTTACACTAGCTCAAGTTCTGCCCCAGAATGTTTACAGTGATGGAGCTCACTATTTTCAGATTCTTTTTCGTTGCCATTCTGAGTTTTGATGGAATAGTCCTAAGCTATATTAAAAAGTGCTGGTTGGAGGGCAGTGAGCGGAAAGGGTCAGAAATGTTTTGCAAAAATCTGTTCTCCTAAAATTTTCAAAAAGTTGAAACACTTCAATGAGCTCAGAGTTTTTGCAAAACAGGGTGAAAATGCCATGAAAATGCAACTGAAATTTTCTGCTATTTGGTTTCAAATCCCCAAATGTCATCCATATCTTGAAATTTCATCAACATTTCAAACTTTGATGACTTTGACCACCTTTGATATTACCATTCAACTGAGAAAGAACTCTCCTGTTTGCACAATGCAGCAGGATCCTTGAATAGTGCCGCTCTTCCAAGTATTATAGGGAATACTTAATCCATCTGCTTTTTGGGTTTTAGGTCCAGTTCTTGGAACAAAAAAATAAAGTTCTGGTCACCAAGTGGGATCTCTTACAACAGCAAGGCGGAACAATTATTAGGAAGGACTTAGCGCCCTTGTTTGAGAATTTTATCCAAGTCTTGAGGAGGAAGCTAGATGGACTCCAAAGTCAGAAGGGACAACTGCAGTCAGAACTGGAGAACATGCAGCAGTATGTTGAGGAGTACAAGCGCAAGTAAGTGCATTAACAGAGTAAGAAACAAAACATTAAATTAAATTAAAACATATTACAGCTATAGCAAACTCGATCGGTCAATTTACTGTGCCTTCAGTGGTGAACAGCAGGGTCTAGTTTTCCCCATGCATAAACTCTTTGATACCAATTATGGCTGAAAATCCCAACATGGCCTAATTTCAAAGGCACAAATGGCAGAGAGGCACCTGGCCGTGGGTAGTCAATGGGAATTGGACTTCTAATTCCCATCTGTGGTTTGAAAATCACAAGAAGGATAAAGCCCAAGAACAGAGAAACATTTTTATTCACTACTTAAGAAAAAAACCAACCCCATTCCGCTTATAGGTATATAATAACCCTGAGTGCTAATATTCTTTCTTATCCTGGTGTAAATCAGTTGTGTTACAGCAGCCAAGAGGGTGGCTGATGGGCTGTGGACCTCGAGGAACAAGTGTGTTTTGAGGAGGGATCTGAAGGTGGAAAGGATGTAGGAGTGATGAATTGGATCCCATCTGCATGCAAGCAAGGAGTTAGTGGCAATAAAAAATGAAGGGTCAATTAGATGCACACTGTTGGTATAGTAAAATGGGGAAGAGAAGGAGATGAGAACAGAGAGTTAGACAGGTGCTCTGATTTAAATATCTAGATTATTTGATATTAGACTTGATTTGAACCTTAGCTGAGTCTAGCCTTTCTTTACTGGTGACTGAAGCAGCAAAACTCAAATAAACCCAGCTTGTCTCTTTACTTGAAACAGGTACGAAGAAGAAATCAACAGGCGCACAAGTGCTGAGAATGACTTCGTGGTGCTCAAGAAGGTAAGTGGCCATGCTAACTAAAGAATGCGGTGGGAAGCTTTAACCAGGGGTTCAACGGGATTCTGTCTTCAATGAAAATATAACCATTGAAAATCATAATTAGAAGGAAAAAAATGCCATTTAGACACAGGCCTGCACCAAAATACCCAAGTTGCTACCACCTGTGTGTTACAACCCAATATCCACTTGTGATTGGGTAACTGAATTTGTCAGATGCCCAGAAAAATACCTATGCAGGTATTTCTGTGGTGCCCATTACAGTGCTATCTGAGTGCCTGATGAAAATTAACACATTTTTGTTCCTTACAAGTCCGGTTTTCAGCTTCTACACTTAAAGTCCACAAAATTTTCCAAAGGGATATTTGGTAAAGGGAAAGCAGTAGAGGAAAGAAAGAAAGGACAGTCTAACCTTAATAGTGGTGCAAAGGAATGACTTTAGGCTATGTCCCCTTGGTTTTATTGCAATGGGTAATAAAATAACTTATCCCGAAGGTCCTGTTTTCTCCACACCTTGCTGAGTACTACATTGGAAGGTCCAACATCAGCACAGCTGTTTCTTGATAAGGAACAGAGGATACTATTTCTGCCATGCTCAACCATACCCAATGGAAGATTAAATAATTCACGGTATCTCTCATCTTTCCTTCAGGATGTGGATAATGCCTACATGGTTAAAGTAGAGTTGGAAACAAGGGTGCAAAGTCTGACTGATGAAATCAACTTCCTGAGATTTGTATTTGAACAGGTAAGGAGCCTTCCATTTCCCTTGAGCAGCCGGTAATTGGGTGATGTCGGTCCTTTCCAAAGAGGCTTGACTTTGATTAGATACGAGGGTTGGGTTTCTTTTGGGTGATGGCTAGAACTGTTTGAAACTGACGAAGATTTTTATCCTTCTGCAAACATTTGCGCCAGAAAGTCTGACTCCATACAGATACAGACTGACTCATTTCTAACCTGGAAGCAAATGCCAGGCACCTGAACTCACCTTTAGGATGCCAGATTTTCAGAGCTGCTAAGCACCCACAGCTTCTGCTGAAGTCAATAAGGGCTCCTCGCTTTTGAAAATCAGCCCATTTATTTGGAGCGTAAATATGGATCTAGAGGCCTAACTTTAAGCAACCGTGTTTGATCATTGTATCCACAGACAAATGGACTGAACTCAAGGCTGGGGACCAGGTCTAGTCTCTGCTTTGCATTGAAGGGCCTCAGGAATTCTTGGCACTTATTGTATAGCACTTCACAGACATTGGGTTAAACCCTGGCCCTAATGAATCAATGGGACTTTTGCCATTGAGTTTAATTAGGTCAAGTTTTCACCCATTGGCTTCAACCCTACAAGTGCTTTCTGAAATAAGTAGCCGAGTACACATGTAGTTCAGAAATGAGGACATGCCATCTAATTACCAGGGTTGGTGGAGAAACAGGGGGAAATTTTGTTAACAAATTTCCAAAATGCTTCTGTTTGGGAGTTATTGAAAAAGAGCTGATTTCTCATTTTTTACATCTCTTTTTGTAGAATATGCCACATTATCCCCACCCCTTCCTTTCTGTTTTTGTATAATGGGGAAAAAAAGGCAAAATATTTCATTTTCCAGTTTCAACTGAACAATGAAATGTAGACACAAAAAGTTTTCTTTTTGAGACAAGGCTGGGGTTTTTTTGGGGTTTTTTTTTGACAAAAAAATGGTTTTCCTTTAAGAATTTTGATCAGCTCTCATAATTGCTGTGACTTTAGAAACAAACCAAGGACCTTTTTGCAACACCCTCATTTCTGTAAGACCTCCTCCTCCTCAGCTGTGTTTATTCTATGACAGACGATGTTTGTCCTAAATTGAAGCAAACAGATCTCTATAGTAGACTTTAGACTGGAGAATAGGAAAAGGGGCAGAGGTGGGAAATAACATGCATGAAAGATATATGCAAGACATGACTAATGTTTTGGTGCCTTGCAGGAAATATCTCAGTTGCAGACGATAAGTCGTGACTTGTCAGTGGTTGTATCCATGGATAACACCAGATCTCTAGATCTGGACGGCATCATTCAGGAAGTCCGAAATCAATATGAGGAGATTGCTCAGAGAAGTAGAGCTGAGGCAGAGGCTTGGTACCAGTCTAGGGTAAGTAATCAAGCAGCTAAAGATACGTGGATGGTAAATATCGCTCACAGCTGATTCATAAATACAGCTCAGTTGCAACGGAAGAACTACACATAGTAAACAAATATTTACAGCTACAGGCTTCCAGGCAGGAACTCCCTTCTTACATACAACCCAAGAGGATCCATGGTTCATGTTTGTTCTGAATTCTGAATAGGACCAAAGATGTAGAATGGGGTCATGGGGCCTTCACACTGCAGAGAACCATACTGTATTACCCAAAGAGCTCTGCATCTATGTAGGCTCCTAAAAGAGACACTGTAAGCTGGTATGATGGGCAGCAGACACAGCACAGCAGCTGCCAAACAATTACCAAGTGTTCTGTAGGTATCAGCGATATGTGGTTCAATGTTTTATTTCTGCCCATCAGTATGAAGAGCTGCAGAGCACAGCTGGAAGACACGGGGACAACTTGCGCAGCACCAAGATAGAGATCCAAGAGCTAACAAGGAATGTCCAGAGGATACGGTCTGAAGTTGAAAGTGTGAAGAAGCAGGTGTGGCTCAGGAACTTTTTATATGTATCAGCACAGGGCTGGCTCAGGGATAATATTCCCGTGGAATTCCAGCAGCAGCAGGAGAGTTCTGGAAGCTGTCTGCAGCCTGCAGGCGTGGCATCTGCTGATTAAAGACACTGATGCTGGTTGAAGTCAGTGAAACTTGCAGATCTTTGAGAGCCAGCATGCGCTTGGAATGCATCTGCCTCCTTGGCAGGCCCCATCTCTCAGCACTTTGTAATAGGGGGTGCTGTGGAGAATGGAGATCCAAGCTCTCCTGGGGGCTGTTGAGTCATACTAGGCTGCTAATGCATACACAATGTGGAGACAGCCTGGTGGGTGGAAACCGGGGTTGACACTGCCTTGAAAACACTTCCCCAGTAAAACCTCTGCAGTGAATTAGAAAATCATAGGCGTCGAATCACTCAGCCTAGTTTGGTGTCTCGGGTCAGATTACTGCATGCAAATGAGCTACAAGAATGGTGCAGTGGGTAGAGGACTGAACAGGAAATCGGGAGATGCCTGACTCCGGGTGTTCTAGCTGAGGTGTTCCCCAGGACTCCCCCGGTAATAGATTTCATAGCCTGTGCTGAATACATCGGGGTTGGTAGCTTTGCTGGCCAGAGACTGAATTGTGACTCAGCCAGATGTAACGCTCCTCTCACTTTGGGATGAGGAGTAAATTAGTTCATTCCCTTTTCATGGAGTAATGTATTCTTCTTTGTGGGCACATGAAGCTACTCCAGCCCATGACTACTGGGGCGGGGTGGGTTGGGCTCTCTGGTCCTCCACCCACTTGCCTGCAGCAAGGGGTATCAGATGAGGAGCCCCTGTAGCCGGAGTCATAATCTAAGCAGGAGAGTAAAGGGTAGGGGCCAGAGGTGTGTCAGTTCTCCTTATTCTTTGCATGGCAACTGGGGCAATTGAGCCCTAGACAGGGCCTTGGGCAAGTCACTGCCTTTCTCTGCCGTTCAGCTTCCCTAGCTATAAAGCAAGAACATGGATACTCACCCTGATGACTGGTGGAAACTGGTCATATCCCCCCCCCCCCAGCAAGTGTCCAGTTTTATTGGAAATTTTCAAGTTTTCAGTGAAAAAGTTCTGGCTGAAACCCCAAAACTTTGGATTTGGGGCAGTACTTTTTTTGGAGTGGGGTGGGGGAATGAAAAATTGAAATTTTCGGTAATGCCCCAGGCTATTTTCCAGCCACATGTAGCTTTGGTGAATCCAATGACGAAGCAGGTCTAGAGTGGAATTTAGACATTGCCTTTCCTCTTTTTCAGATCGCACAGCTACAGTCTGCCATCGCCGAAGCAGAGGAGAAGGGCGAGTTGGCCCTCAAGGATGCTAGGACAAAACTGGATGATCTTGAACATGCCCTGCAGAAAGACAAGGGGGATCTGGCTAACTTATTGAAAGAGTACCAGGATCTGCTGAATGTCAAACTTGCCCTGGATATCGAGATCGCCATGTACAGGAAACTGCTGGAAGGAGAAGAGAGCAGGTAGGTGCATTGCCTGTTGGGATTTGTGTTTCCTTAGAAGTTTTTAAGGTCAGGCTTGACAAAGCCCTGGCTGGGATGATTTAATTGGGGATTGGTCCTGCTTTGAGCAGGAGGTGGGACTAGATGACCTCCTGAGGTCCCTTCCAACCCTGATATTCTATGATTCTATGATTCAAATGGATTCAAATTCCCGATTTGCTAGGAGCTATTATAAGTGGGAAATAAATAAATACTTAGCAACGTCCTTTGCATGAAGGATGGGAAGTTCTCAAATGAGCAGGGCTCTGTGGAAGCATGACCTGCTTTCCGGGATGAATGACCTATGTCCCTTTTCCTACACAGGCTAGCCAGAGGCGAGTCTCATGTGAATGTCTGTAAGTAGCTTGTGGTCTTCACATTGATGTTATGTTGTCTGCGTTTCCCTGGGGATTGTGAGCTGCCCTTATGCTGACAGGATGACCCTGGGCTTCTCTTGCAGCTGTCATTGGTGGAGGCGGAGGAGGCATCGGGGGTGGATTTGGCAGCGGAAGCGGAGGCGTCATCTGTGGCGGTGGATTTGGCGGCGGAAGCGGAGGCGTCATCTGTGGCGGTGGATTTGGCGGCGGAAGCGGAGGCGTCGTCTGTGGCGGTGGATTCGGTGGCGGTGGACTCGGCAGCGGAAGCGGAGGGGTCGTCTGTGGCGGTGGACTCGGCGGCGGAAGCGGAGGGGTCATCTGTGGCGGCGGATTCGGCGGCAGAAGCGTTGGAGGCTTCTCTTCTGGAAGTGGAAGGGTCTACGGCGGTGGCAGCAGCGGCATCTGCTCCAGCGGCGGTTCCTCCTCGGTCGTACGGAGATGCACCACGTCTTTCTCCTCCAAATCCGGTTCAGGAGGGTACTGAGCACTGGAGCCAGGCCCCAGAAAGAAAAAAGCATCTTTTTATCTTCAAATGGCAGCAGCACACCCCACCTAACCCAACTCTGGTATCCAGAAAAGAAACGAACTGTATCCCTTACAGCCCACACCCTCAAATCCCCACCTGATCCCCACCGCCTCTTCCCTGAAGGGAGGGAGGGAGCCACGCGCCATCCTGGCAGCAACACCTGCCGGGTTTAAGCCAAACGTCCATGTCAATTGAAACGCACCCACCGATTAAATGTGATGAGACCCTGTAAAGAAATGCATCACTTGAGGATATCAGTAAGCCGCGAGCTGATTTAGAGGAGGGAGAGCTCTGCCCCTCTGGGTGTGCTGTAGATTGTTGGCTGTTGTGGCTGTCAAGGGGTAATGTGTATAAAACTCAACTTTCCTTCTCTTTTCGTAGCGCTTCTTCCAAAATGGCTATATTTTTCTTGGGTGCTATTGTATTTACTGTGCCTTGCATCTCCTGTTTGCGTGCTTTACAAATAGGTCTGAGTTGCGGTCAATGTGGGGAAAAATTATAATCCATCTTTAGCTGAGTTTAGGAGTTAGTAATGTTTGTGTGGCTATCTAGACACGACAGGCTTCCCCTTAAGGAATGATTAGGCAGGTTTGTTATTTTGGGAATCCAAAGACAGGCTCTAACCAACATTCACCATAAACAAGTGGGTACCAATTCCACTCATCCCCCATCCTCCTTTAGTTGCACCTGATTCCACCGGATGTATTTGTGCCTTTATTGTAAAGACAACAGAGCAAACTATTCACTGCAAAACATTCTGTGATGTAGAATATGCTGTACTGTCACCATTTACCTGCCTTTCCTACTCATGGGGCGTTCCATTTTCTTGGGGCGTGACCATTTGCAATAAACTGCAGACAAGTCAGATCATGTCTATGTGTCGTTATTATTATACAAGATTGAATAGGTCTGTGGTCAGGATCCTGAATGAAAAGCAAGAGCTGTTCTTCTGGTTAAAAAACAGACATACAACGATACTCTGGGCAAAACTCTCAGCTAATGCAAATCAATGAAGGTCTGTTGAAGTCCATGGACCTAGGCCAGCTTATAGTCTGGCCCTGTGTGTTCTGAAATGTTGTTAAGATTATTGACATAGAGTTCACGTCCTAGAGCAGTGGTTCCCAAACTTGTTCCGCTGATTGTGCTGGGAAAGCCCCTGGTGGGCCGACGTGCTGGCTGCCGCTTCCAGCAGCTCCCATTGGCCTGGAGCAGCGAACCGCGGCCAGTAGGAGCCGCGATCGGCCCAACCTGCGGACGCGGCAGGTAAACAAACTGGCCCAGCCCGCCAGGGGCTTTCCCTGCACAAGCCATGGAACAAGTTTGGGAACCACTGTCCTAGAGGCAGGGCAGTTTGAATCTGCTGCAAGGTTGGTTTTTTTGTTTGTTTTTTTTGGAGGTCACTGTGGAGCTGGAAAGAAATAATAATAACTAGGCCTGGTTCTCCGTTATGCTAGTATTATGCCAGTGTGACTCTACTGAAATCAAGGGAGTCACACTTCATGTTATGAAGTAGTGAAGAAAACCCGGTCTCTACATTACTGTGGTCACAGCAGACAAGACCCACATGCTACTGAATCTGAGACATGTGGTCCTTTGAGCAGAGAAAGGGAAGTGTCAGTGGAACAATGATCACCAGCACGTTGTGTAAGGTGGGAGCTTGGTCTAGCAAAGGTATAGAATCATAGAATCTCAGGGTTGGAAGGGACCTCAGGAGGTCATCTAGTCCAACCCCCTGCTCAAAGCAGGACCAATCCCCAATTTTTGCCCCAGATCCCTAAATGGCCCCCTCAAGGATTGAACTCACAACCCTGGGTTTAGCAGGCCAATGCTCAAACCACTGAGCTATCCCTCCCCCCAAACATCTGACGACTGGAATAACTGTATAACAACATCTGATGACTGGAAACTGAAGCTGGATGCATGGGAACTTGAGTGCAGGTTTTTAACAGAGACGGTAATTAACCAATGGAACAGCTTGGGAAGAGGTGGATGTGCCATCACATGGACACCAAGACTTGGAGTCTTTCTAAAATGTACCCTCTAGCTCAGCCAGAAGTTATGGGAATGATGCAGGAATCCTATGGCCTGTGTCATGCAGGAGATTAGAAGAGGTCCCTTCTGGCCTTAAACCTCTATGGGCTCCGAAGGGCAGTAAATAGGCAAATTTCCAAAGAAAGCCCAGCTTAGTTGTAACTTGAACTGGTTGAACATTGGAATTTTCATCCAGTGGGAAATTCTGATATTTCAAAATTTATTTTAGTCCTGCATTGGTGCCAAAAGCTGAAAAATCAAATTTTTCTGGCAGAATGGGAAATTCTTAAAATTTTGGATTCATAACGTTTTGTTTTGAGATTCCCAAATTGAGATGGTTTGTTTTGCCTCAGTTTGATATTATTGTGTGTCCCACTTGAGCTGACATAGAGCCTGGTAGCCTGAGGACTCGTCCAGTGGTCTGAGGGCATCAGGTTGCGGGGGATCAATCAGAGCTTCTGACAGCTTACCTCTCAGCAGGATGGGTAGGTTGGTAAATGTCACTGGTGAAGGGCTATAATGAATGGAAGTTTTTGAGCACAGAATCACCCCAACGGTAGAGTGCATCACGGGAGATGTAGTCCAGTCAGTAAGCCTGGCTCTGAGAGAAAGATGGGGGCATAAAGCATCCAAACAGCAGCTCCCACGAGGCACAGCAGTAGCTCAAGGTAATGTCAAACTGAATTGAAACAATTTTTTTTTTTCAGTTTGACAAAGTGAAACATTTTGATTAGGCCCAAACCGACCTGCCACAAAGTGTTTCAGTTCGATTTTTATAATGGAAAACTGAAATATTTTGGCAAAAATAAAAATTGTTTCCGTGGAAAATTTCAGTGCTGAAGAACCCACATTAGCTGTCAAAATAAAAAAAAAATCCTGACTGGCCCTGGTTGGAACCTTCTTGTATTTTACAAAGATCGTTTGAACTGCAACATCCCAAGAAGCAAAACGTAGTTAACGAACGTCTCCCTCGGACATAGAAAGGACCAGAGCTTGAACCCCATCACAGCAACTGCGCAGTCTCTCCCAGCGTATGGCTACACAGGCACCGGCAGACGCTTTGGTAGCTCGACGCGCACTAGCTCCAACCGAGTTAGCACCTAGAAAAAGGAGTGTGGTGGTGGCAGCAAGGGCAGCAGCTCGGGCTAGTCATTCGAGGACGTGCCCTGGGGCTCAGCCAGGATTGTACTCAGGCAATTAACCTGAGTTGGCGCAGCCATACTGCTATTTTTAGGTGCTAACTCAGGCAAAGCTAGCGTGGGTACAGCTACCCGAGCTGGGAATCGCCCCTCCCAGCTGCTGTGTGGGCGTAGCCTAGCAGTGCAAATCCACCACCATGCTGGTGTAACCAGCTAGTAAAGAGTTCTCCTGCCGAGGGGAATCCCCATGTGGCACAGAGCTGCCGAAGCGCCTCTACACCCCAACCTTCCTTGTTCCTGGCATTATGGGTGTTGGCAAAAGTGTCTCTACTCCCCAGTAACCCCCAACTGCTGGATCAGTCCTTTGAGGCCTTAGGCAGCTGGATGCAAAATAGAGCAGCCCGAGGGCTTCTCTAACTTGTACTGATTTGGTCCCTGTCAAGCCACCGGATTAGTGTTGGGGACTCATAGATTGATAATTTATAAGGCCAGGAGGGACCTCTGTGCGATTATCTACTCTGACCTCCTCCGTAATACAGGCCCTAGAACTTCCCTGAATTAATTCCTCTTTGAACTACAGCACAACTTTTATAAAAAAAACCATCCGTTCTTGCTTTAAAATTTGCCAGTGGCTGGTGAATCCACCACAATCCTTGATAAGTTGAGAGGGAGCACAAAGACGCTTTAAAGCAATCTTTGCTCATATTGCTTTTGTTTAGGAAGAAATAATGGGGAAAAATAAAACATTCTGAAAATGTCAAAAAGGGGCTTTTGACATTCTCAGACCAAAGAGTTACGATTTTTCATGTCAAAACAAAATGTACTTGTTTTTTTGTTTCAAATTTTGTTTCAAAATGTACTTTATGTAAGCGGGGGAATGCTCCACTATTGTGGGGAACTTTCCTAGCTTATACATGACCCCGGTGAAATGGGCTGGTGAAAGGATCTGAGTCCTCGCTTCCACTCCCTTTACTCAGAGGCCTGCCTGACCTCGAGGGCTCCCCTTCCACTCTCCTGTGTGGCTGCAAGGCCCCTTGGCTGGGGGTGTCTCCCTGCACTGGGCCCGTTGCCCAGGGTCCCCCTCGCTCTTCCCAGCTGCTCACCGCACCCGGCTCCGGACTGCTCCGGCCCCAGCTCCAGCTCCACTCTGCCCCAGCATGGCTGCTGCTGCTGCTCTGCCTCCAGCCCCCTGGGCTGCTTCTCTGGCCCCCCTGGCTCTGGGGCTGCAGCTCTGCTCCCAGCACAGGTCTGCTCCCTGGGCTGCTTCTGTGACTCTGCTCCCAGCACTGCCCTGCTTCCTGGGCTGCTTCTCTGCCCCCTCTGGCTGGCCCGGCTCTGCTCCCAGCTTAGCTCGGGCCCCTGCTCTCTCCTTAGCTTGGCCCCACCCTGTCTGACCCAGGTAACTCTGGCTCACACAGAGGACAGGACCCCCTGGCCTCCTGACTCCCTCACTTAGCTTGCCCGCCCTGTCATTCAGGCTGACCTGGAGCATAGTCCTCTCCCCATTGTTCCTGGGGATTGTCAGTCTCAGGGTGCTGATTTCCCATTGACCCTTCCCCTTTCTTTTGGGCCTGGGAGCTAGCCAACCAAAACACCCCCACTGAGTTTTAGGAAGGCGCCAACAGTTCCCTTACATTTAGTTTATATTCAAATTTCAAAGGACAAAACACTTCGCTTGACCCAAAAGAAATCTTTTTCATAATTTTGTTTCACAAAATGGTTTCAAAATTTTGTCTGTTCACCCCAATTTGGGATGATTTTTTTTTTTAAATTCAGTTTTTTGCGAGTCTAAAATCCTATTTTCTAACCGCTTCTGGTAGCAACATATACATATCTAGCTAGGCTGTTATACTGGCACCCAGGACTAATATCCTAGGAATGCAAAGACGTCAGATGATAGTCTTGGCTAGTTACCAGGAAATGCTCCTAG